GTTTAGACTACAGCTCATGTGGCAAGCACTTCCAAGAGGTTCTAAGGACATCTACCGGCTTGCTTCCGGCCAATCCTATACAACTCAGTCAAAGGCTGCAGGCCCTAGAGAGACCTGATGTACACCGTCTGTATACCTGGCAAACTTGGTAAGCCTTGCACAACATCGGGCGTAGGGTTTAGGGTTTAAGGTTTAGGGCTTAGGGTTTAGGGTTTAGGGTAGTATACTGAGGTTATATAGGGATAATGGAAAAGAACATGGAAGCTATTATTTAGGAGTTATATAGGGGGTATAGGGTGTATATTGTAGGAATCCAGGACACCTCAAGAAGGCATTGCCCATTTGGGTATGTGCACATAGTGGCGGTCTGATTCATCCCCCTAGCATGGAAGGCTATCAAAATGAAGGCGCTCCTTATACTCCCCAGAACAATCTGTTTCCATGTGCTTCCAATCATAGAGACTCCAAAGCAGGAACCCTAAACCCACACTGTTGAAGAATCCTAAACCTTACACCCTAAATCCTAAACCGCACCCTATCAGTTCCTAAGCCCTGAACCTGCGGCCCGATCTAAGGTTGAGGAGCCTCAGCCGATGGCGACGACAGGCAGGGCCTCATCCATGTGCTGAGTTGCTGTTAGGGAACTTAAATGAAGTTACTGGACCCGGCTTGGGGGTCAGGATTTAGGGTTTAGGATTTAGGGTTTAGAGTGTAAGCTCCTTAAAGGGGGTTGTGCAGGGAATCATATGAGCGACTGTTATTAGGCTTATTCAGGGGGATACTAGGAGTTTAGACTATAGCTCACATGAAGTTACTGTGATAAGCAAACCGTATTATCTACTATATATCCATACAATCATAACTTTAACTAACTTCTTTAACAGCAACCTGTCCATTGGTCTCAAGGCATATCCATCACCTCCCCCTACAAGCAAACCCGGCAATACTCCGTATTGCTCCTTATGGATATGTATATGTATGTGAATACATACTCATGTGTATATATATATATACATGATGGTGCTCATAGCAGGTTATTAATTTGGGAAAAGTATGATGGACAATCAAGCCGACAAGAAGACGCATGGTGAAACGGAAACTTTGTTCATGTGGGGCTCTATGCGGGTTGTGTACTGCCTACAAAAGCTATAATATGTGGTCCGAGATTCCTGGTATGCTTATGGTATAGGGTACATACCTCAAATGGATAGTGGTAATTTATTCGGCCCGGTATGTGGAATAAATGGGGCTGATTGTAAAGCGGCATTGCTGGATATAACTGAGTCATAGTTTTCGTGTATTCCAAGCGCATCAGGATGTAAAGTTATAGGATTTAGAAACTATTCTACAACCCAGCCCAAACTTGCACACGGCTTAGTACACTCCATAGTTCGGGGATTACAGCCTTGTTGGGCGTCTACAATGACCCTAGACATCCCACACATTTCACCATACTACCTGAGGTTTAGGGTTTCGGGTTTATGGTTTGGGTGTAGGGGTTTAGGGCCACTTGCACCAAAGCTGTCGGAAACGAGCTGCCAGTAGGCTTGTTTTGCAATTAGGAATGGAGACCCTAAACTCCTAGACACTGAACCCCAAACCCTAGTAAGGAGAAAAGTCTGTGACCAGCTTTCCAAGCAGGGGTCCTTCCCTGATCAACCGGCGGTGGGCTTCCTAGACCACCAGTTGCAGCGCGGCCCACTCCCTAAGCCCTAAATGAGTCCTGATCCTGAAGCCTTGAACTTTAAAAACCCTAACAGGGTTTAGGGTTTAGGGGTCTCCGAACCCTAAACCCTAAATCCCAAATCCTACACCCTAGACCGCACAATCCCTACAACCTACAGTAAACCCTTCGTTCAGCGAAATCTCGGCTTCAGCCTGACCCACAAGCCCATCTCCTCCAACGGCTCCAAGCAAAGAAAGATGGACGCGGCCGTCGCAGAGCTTGTGAGCAAGATCCAGGTGAGCATTTCTCAAAATTAATGGTTATATTGGGGTTATATAGGGATAATGGAAAAGAAAATGGAAACTACCATTTAGGGTTTAGGGTTTCCCAAAATAATGCATTTCTCAAAATAATGCCTGTATAGCTTAGGAGGACCCCCCACCCTGTAATAGTGGGTGAAATCAGAATATAAGAGGACCCTAATATAATCCCTATTATCCCCTATAGTCACTATTACTGGGTGGAGGGTCCATCTAATGTATAGCCCCTAAGAAGACTCCCATAATCCCCTCAAAGTGTGTGTATATATATATATATATGTACAAGCCTTGGGTTCTCAGGGCCCCCCTTTTTTGAGAAAGTCCTGGGTCGGATGCCATTGAAGGACGTGGATAATGCCGGGCTTATCGTTGAGGGTCTGGGAGAATGTGGGGTGTGAGGCTTCTCGGAGGCAATGCGGAACGGCGGAACGTAGTCTTAGGGCGTCACGCGAAATGTAGGCTGAAGGGTTAAAGAGTAATGTAGGGTGACGGGGGTAGCGGCTGGTGAAGGATCGGATTTGACAAGAGAGTTTTCTAAAGGTAAGTAATCTAGAGTCCCCCTCAGTGGATGAAATGCGAAATTCCCCAATATCATGATAAGATCCCCATATTCTGCGTACTTCAAGGGGACTGTAATGCGGTGGTGTTTTACAAGGCAAAACGTCGGATCAAGACAGGCGCGAAACTCTGGACAGAAGACTGCCAGGTGTACGTCTACCCACGACGGATTCGTGTCAAGGAGTTCTTCAATGACTTCGATCCTCTCAAACATGGGCGGTGCACCTTCATCAACTTTGCGAGGGCAGTGAATATGTGGCTTGGCTAGATCAGTCTCCTGCTCACGCTATGATAGTCCCCCTTAAGCAGATAGAATATGAAGTATATGGGATCTTATCATAATATTCCCCAAGCCATATTCTATCTACTTAAGGGGGACTGTGGGGTTTAGAAATTAGGCTCAGTTTTCTACAACCAAAACTGAGGCTCCCTTCACCAAGGATGGAAGCCCTGCAAATACGACTTTCCCTAAAGAAAGGCTCAGATTCTCCTAAACCTGCAACCCAAGCCCCCCCCCCCATCTAACCCTCACATAAATCCGATATAAATCCTACAAGCGTTACATAGCCCCCCCCATATCCCATATACATCCCCACCCCAAACCCTCATATGCCCCAGGCCCTAAGCTCTTAACCCTACAAACCCGAGCCCCATCGACTGAGGTTGGGGATGTCAGGCCTTAGTGAAGAGGACGTCCGCTTTCGATGGGTTTAGGGTTTAGGGTCATGACACGTTTTAGGGTCCAAGGGAATTGGGTTGAAAGCCTTTCTGCAGGGGTGGCGTTTAGGGGTTTAGGGTTTAGGGTTGTAGGATTTGCCTGAGGCTCTTGAAAGGCGTTGCAGCAAGTCTACCATAGCTGTTTAGCTGTTGATGTACAGCATGGCTTTGTGTCAGGCCAAAGCCCCGAACTCTATAGTCCCCCTTAAGTAGATAGAGTATGGAGTATATGGGATCTTGTTATAATATGCCCAAAGCCATATTCTATCTACTTAAGGGGGGCTCTACTTCTGTGGGAGGAAGTCGACGCCTTGGCAGAGCACTTCACGGAGCATGGCGCGCATGTTGCGCCACCGGCCATCGTGAACTACATCAAGCCACTGGGTCCTAATGATAATAATTGATAGGATTTAGGGTTTAGGGTCCTGATGATAAGTGATAGCAGCAATAGGCATGTAAGAGGCAGGTTAAACCAGGATTTATAAGAACCAGTGTTTTTGGTTCAGGGATTAGGTGTTGAGGGTATGGGGCTCATTGGGTCCCTTTTTGCGATCTCCAGGCCTCGATTTTTGTCAGTGGTGTCCCTTCAGGATAAGACTAGCAATGGTATTAGTTATGGTAATATCAAAGGTATGTGGCAGATTCCGAGAAACCCCGATTGTTGTTCCGACGTTGTGATTGTACTTGTTGTTACGACCACCTCTTGTGGAAAGTCGCCCTGGGCGTGGTCTTGCAACCCTAGACCCTAAACCCTGAAACCCTAAATGCTAAGCCCTAAACCCAGCAACCCTGGGCATTCTGTGTCAAGTTTGTTTTGCTTTAGAGCTGCACCATCAAGCAAGGTTCTGCGAGACAATCGATCAGGTCTACATTGTGGGCAGTCCAGATGAGCATCACATGCGCCTTGGCTGGCCGTAGGCTGTCTGAAGGGACTCTGCTCTTTAAAGTCTCAGTTTGTTAGTTTCCCAGAGTAAGGATACCCCAATATAGACCCCAAATACTATAAACCATTTTATAGGGAACCCCAAAAAGGTACCCCTGATTTTGGGAAACCCACTTCTATCTGTGCCAAGGGGCTACAGCCCTTCAAACCTGAGATGTAGAAGGGGCCATGCAGGCAACCACTGCAGCCCCGGCTTCCTAAGCATGTCCTCCACTTTGCGGCTAAAAGTCCATGAGTCCCAAACTCCCTTGAGAGTTTAGGGTTTACTTTAGGGATTTTTGACCTTTCATGAGCTAAGGACCAAAGTTCGGTTGGGGGGGGACCGATTAAGGAGTATACAAGAACTTTAGTCCAGGGCTCACATGTTCACTTTACTAAGCAAGGGCATTAGGGTACTATGATATAGTATCTCTTATAGTAAATATAGTATACTATACTATAATGGAGTACATTGTATTATAACATACGATTCCATCATACCATATTGGTACATAGTCAGCAGGGGGATGAGGGTGAGGGTGGGGGTGTTTACCGGGGCCATCCCGACCTCCTTTCTAAATCTGAAGTAGCCAGGGTGGGTTTAGGGGGTTTGGGGTTCAGGGTTTGGGGTTTTAAGGGTTTAGGGTTTAGGGTTTAGGAGAGAGTCCTGGGTTGAAAAAGGGTAACGTCGAAGTCTGAATAAGTCAGCGGTATCCGGGGGTTCCCAAACTTAGGTGTATGATTTTGGGGATCCCAGTAATGAGGCTTATAGTATTTGGGGGTCTATATTGGGGTCCTCCAAACCCTTATTAACCCCGTCTCCCTGTCATTTTTCCATTTTCTTGTCCACCTGATTCTGGAATGTCCAGTTATATCTCAATGCATCAAAATGTAAACTACCCCCAACCCCGCTTGTTTAATCATACCCCAACCCTATGCCCTGACCCGCCCCCTTTCTAGTCAGCCAAGGTCTTGCTCCCCAAGCACCACCCAGCTGATGTCGTTCAAGCCCAGCTCCCCTGAAGAGGACCGCGGTCCGAAAGCCTAAACCCAAAGGGTTCAGGGTTTAGAGACTAGAGTTTTAGAGGTTTAGGGTTCAGGGTTCAGAGGCTTAGGGTTTTGGGTTTAGAGGTTTAGGGTTCTGGATTTTAGGCCTTGGTGTTTTGGGGTTCAGGGTGGCTCAAAATTAAAGGGACTTAATCTTCATAGCCTACAATACGACAGCAGCCTACAACCATAGTAGAAAATACTGATGAGGAATGGACAATCAAACGGGAAATGAAATGGCATCTGGATTTTATTTGGTGGTTGATGGGGTAGACTTGAAAAGAGCGTGCTTGGGGTTTATGGCTTTAAGCGTGGATGGTTGCAACATTAGCCAAAAGTTCAGGGTTCTAGGATTAGGGGTTGGGGGTTGAAGCTGTACAGTTTAGGGTGATGAGGGCTTAGGACTTATAGCCCCCTTTAACTACATAGAAGCTGGCTTTGGGTATATTACAATAAGATCCCCATATACCCGGTATTTTATCTACTTAAGGGAGACTATAGTAATTGGGCGTCCGGGCCCAGAGTTGGTGATGGTGGTAAACATTCGAAATACGAGGCCCTTCCACCCCACCCCCCTCATTGTAAAAAGTGTTCCCTGTCATGTGGGTGGGGACTCCGTTGTCCGTGGACGGGAGTTTTGCATCTTGGAATATTACATTCCCAACCTAGCATGTCCATGGATGACTACAGAAAGGAAAGTGTGGTATTCACAATTGGCTAGGCTTCAACATCCGGAGCCCTAATGTACATGCAGAAATGTATGTGTATGTACCATATCTATATATATGCAAAAGAAAACATATATGTGCAAATATACATATATATATATATGTACATGGTATTCATATATACATGTAGAAGCATCCCGAAAAATCGTCTATTTCTTCTCAGGGACCTCATCACAGAACCTCAGCTTTGAGGACTCCCAAAGCTTGTTAAGGGGATTAGGGTTCAGGGTTTAGGGGTTTAGGGTTTAGGTTAGGGTTTAGGGTTTAGGGGGTTTAGGGTGGAGAAATGATTCATGCTGGTTCTCGCGCTGGAAAACTCCCAATCTGGGTGGAAGGAGATACGATTCATGCACTCCTCCTTAAACCAGAACCTTAAACCCAGTACTGCAAAAGCCTGGATAGTTACCAATATTATCCCACCAGGTTCCTTGTGTGATTATGGTATAAGGTACCTCAAGTAGACTCAACCGAGCTTTGGGCAGAAAACGGATCCCTAGAGCCATCCCTGTATAACCCCCTTGCATATTCCTCTATATAATGACCAACCCAAGACTTCTATAAAATGTTTTTTGTCATTTTATAGAGGGTCATTCTATAGAGGAATTTTTGTGTTGGGAGATGTTGGGAGTCCAGGAGGTCATTTCATAGGGAAACCTTTGTTTCAATCAAAGAACTTGATATGCGGAGAATTCTCTTGATGTGCTGGTTTGGGGGTTACTTGTGGCCCCCTAAAAAAAGTCGTGTAGGCCATTTCATAGGAAAGGAGTTGCGTGATTGGTTTCATGACCGGAAATGTGCCACAGCCATTTCATAGAAGTTACATATAATTGTAGAATGGTCCCCCAGACATCTTGATCTCAGAATATCTTCCAAGATCGAAGACTTGGTAGAGATATGTAACGTTCTGTAAAGATCTGTAACAATATCTTAGAATACTTGCAGGGGCTTGCAGGAGCGTCGTAGGATCTTCCAGGGATAGCTACGGGACCCCGACGCAAAAGATCGTTACAGATCTTTACAGAACTTGCAGGGGCTTGCAGGAGCCTCATAGGATCTTCATGTTCACTTGCATGCACTTTGCATATTGAAATATATAGAACTTTGTTGAAATCATTTCGAAATTCCTTGAAACAATACTGAAGTTGGTTTGGAGATCTTTGGGAGTCTTTGGGAATGTTGGGAGTAAGGATATGAATATTGGATATTATTTGGATGTATTTGGTATTTGGGCTATCTTGGGCTTGTTTTTTGGTGAGGCGCGCAGGCCATTTCATAGTGGTGGAATGGTTGTGTTGGAGAAGGTCAGCTAGTCATTTTATAGCGAGCAGGTCGTTGCAATGGTATTTTACATTCATGCGCTGCAAACCCCCGAGCCATTTCATAGAAAAGTGCAATTTCAGTGGTTCATGCCCACTCTCCTCGGGTACCCACTTCATAGACCATTTCTCTATAGAATGGCTATCCGGAGTCCGCCTGGGATATGGAAGGGGGATCCCTGTATAATCCTCCATAGTATTCCCTATACCCTCTCTCTCCATTCTCTACTAACACTCTAAGTGCTAAATCCTAAACCCCATACAAGATAGTAGTTTCCGTGGTCCCTTCCATTCCTTCAGTCACCAGTATGCGCGCCCCAACCAAAACCGGAGGGAATGGAGGAATGGATCAGAGAAAAAATCTTTATGAGAAGGTTTTCCGGGTTAGGGTTTAGGGAACATATCCCGGGCCCCGATGGAAGCTCTTTCTTGCTGCGTGCGAGCCCAGATGCAAAAAGGGAACATACATGTTTAGGGTTTAGGGTTTAGGGCACTCAATTATATTCTGTTCTATTTCCCAGTAAGCTGGAGGAAGAGAAGTTCATGCACGCGCTTCATCGCCTAGCAGCGCTGTGCAAGGCAAGGGGCCTTCTCTTCAAGCAGGTGGGGCTTTGCCAAACCATAGGGAGAACCTAAGTCAAAATACACATGGCAGAGAATCGAATACAAAAAAGAAAAACGATGGACCTCTAGCTTTTAGGCTAGCTGGGAAAAATCTAAGCTGTAATCAGGTAGTATTTCATAGGCCTTGGATATAACTATTCTTATGGACATCACATACCTGTCCTGGCCAAAACCGTGATTTGGGCATCGCTGATGGTTTCAGGGGAATGAAGCAAGCGAAAGGAAAATGAAGGCTACCATGCTGTTGGGGCTCAGCGCTGAAGGTTTAGGGAGAAATCTCGGGGCTTTGGTTATTGAAGGGCTGAGCCCTAGTCTCTAAACCAGAAGTTAGAGTTACAGACTGGAATTATCGTTACGCTCAGGGCACCAAAGGTGTTTGAAACTGTTCAGTGTTCTCTTGAATCCCAAGCAAACGTGTTCTGCTCTGCTAGAACACCACGCGCCTACAAGACCCATTACGCAAAGCCCTATCCTAAGTATCTAGGCTCCTGCAGCACAGAGGGCCCCAGCATGAAAAATGCCCGAACCCTTGAGTCCAAACTCTAAGCTCTAAACCCAAACTCCTACACGTGAACCGCCCAGGTCTTTTTCGATATCGACCGCGCCCCAGTAGCATCGCCAGCGAGAACCTCTCCCTTCATGGGCGGGAAGGCTGGCCACCGCATTTTGGGGGGCGTTTTGGGGGGGCTTTTGGGTGGTTTCCCAAAATTAGGGGGATGTTTTGGCAGTCTCCGTAATGAAGATTGTAATATATTGGGGTCTATAGTGGGGTCCCCTCATTTTGGGACACTACCTTTTGCGTATCTCGAAAGCCCAGTGTAAGAAGGATTATAGCGTTCTTGTGTTTAAAGGGGGAGGTCCAAGTATTGCGCAAGCATTCGTTTCTGTTTGGGGTTGATGGTTCAGGGTTTTGCTGCTCGGGCGGCTTATGGTTGTGTAGGTAGTTTTGGCTTTGGAGGGTCTTAGGTGTAGGTCGTCTTGGAGGTCTTTGGGGAGATAGATGACGCTCCTACCTTGCAATTAATGGTGCTGCTCTGTCAGCAGTCCATTTCCAGGTTGCTGTTGTGATGGTGGAGTATAACTGAGTAACCCTGTAGTACCCTTTCCCTTTTACTCGTTCTGGTGTCTCCTCATTACAGCTGAAAATGAGGAAAAAAGGTATCCTTGTCCTTGAACGAGAAGTAGGTTCCCTTGTGATGGCAACAGAATTTAAGGTCCCCAGCAGCAATATTGTTTGTATTGACCGCTGCCCTCAAACGCCCTGGGCCCTTAAGTCTTGATCGCCAAAGTCAAGGTGACCAGGGAGCAGATCATCAAGAGGTTCCCCCTAAACCCCAGACTCGAAAGCCCTAGACCCTAAACTGTAGCCCTTAACGTGCAAGCAAAGTCAAGGTGACCAGGGAGCAGTTCATCAAGAGGTTCCCTTTCAAGAAGGAGTTTCCGCTTGAGGATGTAGAGCTGCTCGCAAACAACTACATGCCACTGGGCAATTCATGGGTTCCTTGAGGGTGTAGGGTCTCATGATTCATGGCCTCCCCTGCTCCTGATACTACCCCTCCCCTACAAGCTTCCTCTTGATTAGCCTTAATCAGCCTTAATAAAGGGGGAGTACAAGCCTCCTCTGGGTTAGCATAACCTTAATAAGGGGGAACCGAGGGGGACGTAGCATAGGGTGGGTAGTAGGGGAACCATGCACACGGTTCCGCGCACGGGGTTTCGGGCTTAGGTAGTATCTGCACAAATTTCAGTGAGCGCAAAATATAACCCAAAATCGACTTATGCATACTTAAACGCTGTGACGGATGAGAAGCATGTATTATTCAGGTTCCCTGCCTGCTTGAGCTTCGCAGCAACTGAAGAAAGATCGGAATATGACCAAACTCGTACATTATCCCATGGCTCAGGACAGACAAGGGGGACGTCCACTTCATGGCCATGCACAATGACATTTCCGAGGTGTCTTCCCATGAGCCTCCACCAGTGCCCAGGAGCCTTGGGCTTAGGGCTTTAAATCAGCCATTCCTTCGCATATGAGCTATAGGCTAAACTCCTGAAAGGGGGGTTATATAGGGGAGTATTATAGAGGTTATTCACGGGGATACAAGAAGTTTAGACAATGGCTCATAAAGTAGGCATGGGTGGCTCTTCGCGTGCTGAAACAAAGCCCCGGGGTTTGAGTTTAAAGCGTTTCCTGAAGACTTCTTCAGGTTGCGATGAAGTCTTTGTCCCGCCTATCAGTTTCTAAGACCCAAATCCAAACCGCGAGCCCAAACCAAGCCCTTGATCGCCAACCAAATTTGCTACATACCAAATAGCATAGTGGTTTCCATTTGCTTGTCTTTTCCATTCCCCCTATATAACTTGTCTGGGTTGCTGGTAAGGAATGTAAATTAAGTTACGAAACCCTATTATTCACTATATACCCATATTATGATAACTAAAATTCCCTAGCAACAAGCCGGTTTTGGGGGGAGGAGTGACTTGATCCTGAAGCCGGACGATTCGGAGTGGAGCCAGGGCCTCTACACCATCGTGGACAAGTTGCGCGCTAAGGTTGCGGCTGGGCTCAGGGTTTAGGGTTTAGGGTTTAGGGGGTTTCATTCAGGTTTAGGGTTTAGGGCGTCATAGTTTAAGTTTTTGTTGGCGATATGGGTTCCAAAACGTAGGGTCTTTTAGGCGTACCTATGATCAGGACCGTGGTCTTTCGGGACCATTGTTTCTGCAGTTTCCTTTGTTTTCTCCCTATGTTTCCCTTGTGATTCCTACCAGGTAGGGAACCCTAAAACTCGCGGAAAACCTATAGTACAAGGTCCCTGACAACCCATCTTTTGAGTAACCCTCATGTTTGAACTTATCCAATTCCCAGATGATCCCAGACATGGAGCCGTGGAAACAGGTTTAGGGCTTAGGCTTCAGGTCCAAGAAGACTACGCTATAATATAAGCACAGTCTTGAGGGACTTACTTGTGTGTGAGGTGGTTGATAGTTAGCGGGACAAACTTGGATTTTGTACGGCTTATATATCTAGACCCCTCCAAGTAGTCCCAACTCATGATATATCATAGGCCTCAATAGGCTTCAGGTTCTTAACTACAGCACACCCTACTGAGGTGGAGAAGAGGGTCCGCATCAAGGAGTACTTCCAGGACTTTGACCACCTGAAGAAGGGCTTTTGCAAGGCTTCGCAGGTGGGAGCGATGAACGTCCAAAGTCAGGTTTTGGGTGTAGGGTTTAGGGTTTAGGGTTTAAGGTTTAGGATTTAGGGTTTAGGGTGTCGGGTTTAGGGAGCACGTTGAAGCTTTGGGACGTACACTTTCGGGGGGAATCCTGCTGTCAGGATCCTAGTTTAACATGTGGAGGGTTCCAAAAAGAGGGATTTCAATTGTATAGAGAGAGAGAGAGAGAGAGACCCTGAAATAGCAGAATCCTTAGTATAGGCACCCCCAAAGAGGATCTCAAGTCTATGCAACCCCTGTGCTCTCACACCAGTTTCCATGTTGGTTTCAATTTCTGTTCCGTTTGATTCTCTACCGTTGGTCCAACTAATATCCTGATGGAATCGAATCTTTTATGTAGTGAGCCAGGTCAAGACTGTGCTGACCATCTGCGACCTCGGGAAGGCAGTTAGCCCCGCAGACTATGAGGAGCTTCTTCACCGCTACGAGCGAGAAGATGGCATGTTCTGCTTCTTGGTAGGAATAGGCATTTGGGGGTTTCCCAAAATTAGGGGTACTATTTTTGGGGGTCCTTATAATAAGGGCTATAGTATATTGGGGTCTATATTGGGGTCCCCCCATTTTGGGAAACTAGCATTTATGAAAGCGGTGCCAACAGCAGGAACTACCTGGCTGGCTTCATGACTTCAACGTAAGGGCAACCCCCCCCAAAACCTTAAACCCTAAACCCTAAACCCCAAAAGGGGGGCACCCCAGGCCCTACCTTCCAACATTCTAGTCTGAGGAGTGCTGAAATCCGCTTCATCAAGCACCGTCTCTAAGATTTTGGGATGCCAAAGATGCCTGCTGCGCCATCATAACAACAAATGGGTGTTTCTGAAAATCTTTTCCATATGATCCCTGAGAAGGACCACATGTCTCATCTGATTCTCTCAGACACTCCCAAATTTGCTGGGCAGCTGACGCAACATGCTAGCTCTCTCACTGTGCGCAAGCATAAGCTCAACTTCATGCCGGAAGGGGATTCAAAGGCATGTGCAGGATTAGGATATGTCGGCTGCGCCTCTTGGCGTGAAAGCACTTTGAACCGACACCCTCGTACCGCTAGAGCTTCATTTTGAGCATGCAAGCCTCACATTTCCAAATTCTTGTCCTCGTGCTTGAAGCTCCGAAGGCTACGGGGACTTCTGCGCAGACGTCGACAGGGAATTTGCAACCCCAAACTTGGAGAAAGATCCTTTGGCCACTTGTTGGGAATACGTGAAGTTTTTCCAGCATTCCGTGCCTTTTCAGGTTTTGTGGGAATCCCCAGAATAAGGGCTATATGATATCTGGGGTAGATCAGGAGGGCCCACTTCTTTTACCCATGTAGTAGGTTTTCCACACAAAAACCTGTCAGCAGGTTCATCCAGATTTCCTTGTTGGTTGGGATCTCTATTGTGGGAACGGTTCCCCTATAAAGCCCTCTACAATATAAAACTGGGGGTAGAGCAAATGCAGAGTTCTTGTGGAGATAAAAGGAGTTGGTTATTCATGGGTTCCTCCGCCATCCCTCGTGCGGTCGGCTGGACAACCAACATTGCTCACGTGGGGACTTCTCAAGCAACCTTCCAAAAATACATCTGGGAGCTTTTCTCTACAACCCTACACGGTTGAACATTCCAGGATTCAGGACCCTTTTGGCGGGTTCTCCTTTCTAGATCCTCCCCAGCCCATATGCAAACCCCAACACACTGCGCATGGACAACCCTTACCCCTAATTCCCTATATTAGGTGCTTAGGATCCTTTGGTTCCTCATGCACTACAAACCCTAAAAACTGAGGCACAGACCAGCATGCCGGATGCCACCTCGACGATGGTCGCCAGGCGCAACAAGGCAGGGACGCTGTAACAAACCTAGGTGGCAAAAACCAATGTTGTTTTATTACCACTACGGGAGAATCAAATGGAACATGGGAGTGTTTCCTAGTAGAGCTACCTGGCCACAAACTCAAATACCAAATCGGAGATGTCAAAAGTCTTGAGGGGAGCTTAGCACAGTTCGCGCAATTCACTCGTATGTTCAAGTTGAGGGTTCAGTTTGTATCCTGCATGAGTTTTCCAGTTTCGCACCCCAGGGAAAACAAAGCGCTGTAACAGGATTCAAGAACTGGTACCTGTAAAAGGATTCAAAGCTAACAGTAATCCATAAGGTGGATGGGCGCCTGCAAACGGCCTTCCTCAGACTGGGTTGATGTTATGGGATTTAGAGTAAGTAGCGTAATGGGGAGAGAGCGCAAGTATAGGCTTTCCCTCTGATAGTAGGTTGGTTTGAGTTCCTGAACAGCAACCCAGACCAACATGGAAGCCCATGTGGGTAGGATTTGTTAAAGAGGATGCTGTGGTCCCCAATAAAAAGTATGATTGTATGTTGTCAAATTATGGTCCCTTGTTGAGTCCCCATAATCAATACCGCCCCTAATATTTCGCATGCCGAAATAAAACCATACCTTTTTCATCCATTCATCCTGCCTTTATGAGTCTTGCGGGATATCCTGGGTTTTCTGTGTTCTGTGGTTCACCCCTCAGCTAACGGCCTTCCTCAGGACCTCTACGAGAAGTAGAGCCCTGCTGCTAGGATTTGCATGACTTAATTAAGATTAGGGTCTAGTGATTTTGGTAATCCCTCTTATAGGGTCCGCAATTTGGGTCTAGCTAACCAGGTGATTTTGGGTTATATGCTCCTCACTGTAGCGGTTGGGGTGACCCAAATCCCCTTATTATGTATGGTTTCAGGCTCAGGGTTTCTTGTACCCCAAACCGTTCCCCCGACTCTGACAGTCTTGGGCCAGGTCCTGATGTCCGCGGAAAAGTTGAAACAGTGGGAGTGGCTGGAGAGTGACTGGGCACCTTTTTTGGGGGCTTAGAGTTTAGGATTAAGTTTCCGAATTGGAGGATCAAAGGGCAAAATGAACAGTGAAAGGGGAACTGCGGCTATCTACGGCTACTGTAGATGGAGGAAATCTTGCAAGACCTTATATACCCTATTATACCGTAAGACTTACAGTATCTCAAGGGTCCTAACTGAAACAAGACTTGTTCCATCCGCCGTAGCTTCCATCATTCTTTGAAGCCAGTGCTCTATAACGTTTTCCTGCAACAACAATCTCTCAGGATACCTCCAAGAGACCTTAGATGTGTTGAACATCCTAACCCCTGTAACCTCGGAATTCCTTATCAAGGGCGTCTTTCGAAGCTTGACTGAAGTCCTTGAAGCGGCCCAACCTTAAGTCCCGAATAAACCATTTAGGGTTTGGGGTTTTTGGTTTTGCCACCCATCAACAATGAACCTTTAACCCCCAATCCCTAAAGCCTGAATCCTGCGCCTGAGGCAAGATTCGCTCCAAGGTGCAGAGACATCGCATCAATCTCCTACCCTCCTTCAAGGATGCAAAGATAAGGAGGGCTTGTATTATTGTTATATAGTCTTGTTTGTCTTATTATTGCCCTAAACCCTGAACCCTAAATCCTAAACCCTATTGGTCTTATTTTTGTTGTTACAAACAATTGTTTGTTAAATTATTGTTCTTATGATGGGGTAGTTGGGGTTGTCATTCATTGGCAACTTGGGTTGGGAATTTCCAGAAAGTTGCGCGTCTGGGGTATACAGGGACGATGTAGGGGTTATATACGGACTGTGGGTTATATAGGGGCTATATGATAATCGAAAAGAAAATGGAAATTGCTATTTAGGGTTCAGGGTTTAGGGAGGGAAGCAATGAAAGATGAAATTCGCGTGGTTGTTGGAGAGGCGAGCGGTTGTAAGGGTGTAGCGAGTTTGGCGGGTTGAGGACTTCAATGTTGAGTGAAAAGGATATAGTCCCCCTTAAGTAGATAGAATATGGTTTTGGGTATATTATAATGAGATCCCCAGATACCCCATATTCTATCCACTTAAGGGGGACTATAAATTCCTGAAAGGATGGATTTCAGGAAGCAGTGTGCGGTGTGGAGGTGTAGTGTTGCAGGATCTGCTGCAGCAGGATGGATCTTGGATCTCCATACCATTTCCCAAGCTTCCCATCCATTTTTTGAAGCACACAGGTCTTCATTAGGTGGATCCCCCCCCCTGTAATAGTGGTACGGTAGGAATACAAGAGGACCCTAATATAGTTAGTATTCTCCCTTATAGTCACTATTACTGAGTGGGGTCCACCTAAGATCTTCATCAAATTACCTTTCCCCCTAAAACCTAAACCCGAAACCTGCTAACCCCAGCCTACAATTCCGACCGTTGGTGCTTGGCAGTGTACTTCCTGATGGTTAACAGGGAATGGGGGCCTGGGAATTCATGTGTATGGTATTGGGGTTTGGGTTCAGGGTTTAGTGTTAGTTCTGCTTATGCATCTTCAAATCCTTTACTATAGTCTCTGTAAGCTCTGCTCCGAAAGTCCCTAAACCCGAACCACTAAACCCTAAACCCCAAATAGTCGTTTCCATTTTTCCACTATTCCAATATAACCCTAAGATTACCCGAACCACTAAACCCCAAGCCCTAAACCAGTTCATGAAGGACATGGATCGCAGCAACTGCTCACACATCACTAAGAACCAGCTGCCAGGTTGAGCTTAGGAAGCCCTGGGCCTAGTATGGGACTGCTATCAAATTTTACATCCTCTTAAGGGTTTAGGGTCTAAACTCCATAAATTGTGGTTATATAGGGGGTTAGCCTTGCCGGGCATTATTGAGGATTTATTGTAATTTTAAAGCGTATTAGGGCTCATGAGGCCTCCTTCGTTTGGAAGGCGCAGATTGGGAGGGCCCATGATGGTCCTATGACTTACGTAGGGGGAAGCCATATGAGGGAGTTGCTTCCAAGGATACCCTAGACCATGTATAGAGATTCTAAGCGATGTACAGCGGGTCCTTGCGGGGGGTTGGATAGGGACTCTACCTCAGACATTAGGGCTTATAGTCCCCCTGCAGTAGAAAGAATATGGAAGAATACTAGGGTTATATTGGGGTTGTATGGGAATAATGGAAAAGAAAATGGAAAGTGATAGAATATGGTGTATAGGGGGATCTTATAATAATATACCCAAGGCATACTCTATCTACTGAAGGGGGACTATAGATTTTAGGGGGTTCGGTTGAGAGATTTGGCAACCTCTTCCGGGGCTCTTTGTGGGCGACTCAGGTACAAAGGCAAGGTGAGAAACAAATGAAGGTGACAATGGGTGTATAGAATCATATTTGGGGGTTTCCTAAAATTANNCCCTATAATAAGGACTATAGTAGATTGGGGTCTATATTGGGGTCCCCCTGTTTAGGGAAACTACCATTTAAGCCCATCATCATCATCATCGTCATCATCATGCAGTCCCCCTGCCGTTATGTATGCTGAAGTGCCACTCCCATCATGAATTCACGAAGTCCCCTTGACCCTAAACCCTGAAGCTGGAGTTTGCGTTTTCTTTTCCATCGAACTCGCTAAACCCCCCAAAACCTGAGCGCCGTCAAAGGTTCCACCGAGTGATGCAGAGCATGGGCTTTGATCTCTCAGAGGAGGATGTGATTCTGCTGGGCATCTTGTCTCAGGAGTTAGGGTTTAGGCTGAATTAGGGGTTTAGGTTGGGTACTCCCCCCCCAGTATCAATCTATATTAGGGGTCCTATTAAGGACTATATACATCCATATTATCATTATTATCCAACTGTGCTGAGGGGGGGGCAGTACTCAAGGTTTAGGGCTTGGTTTTAAGGATTTGGGGGTCCTCTACAACTAGGGGTGCCATTTTGGGGGTCCCCATCAGTGAAGGTTACAGTATTGGGGGGGGGGTCTTTATCGAGGTCCCCCTATTCACAAACAGTACCAGTCAGAGTTCACCCTAAATCCTCGTACGTAAACTAAGGTTCAAGGTCAGGCTACATGATTTAGGGTTTAGGCCCGGGTCAGCTCTCGGCCTTAAGAATGTTTTTGTGTCGCACGCTTCAGGGTTTCGGGTTTAGGGGTTGAAGCTTAGGTTGGGCTTAGTATTTAGTATAGGGTTTAGGGTTTAGGGGTTGAACATAAGTAGGGTTTAGTATAGGGTTTAGGATTGAGGCTCATGGCTTCATGTTTACCGGGCTTAGGGTTTCTTAAAACGCCCTTAGGGGTCAGCCCTTCACCATAGGACTAGGCGCGGTCAGCCAGCTTGTTGTTGAGGGCTGTAGCGTAAAAACCTAAAAAGTCCCCTCCCACTAAGAACTTTTCAAGAACTCCCCACTCATAAATCTTCCCCCCATGATATCTTGGCATTGTATTGGCAAAATGCCTGTTAAACATGATAGAAAGCAAATTTCTATGCTGTAGGCAGCTACATTGCGTAGCTGGATTTCCTACAGCATGATGGGTCCTACCCTGTGATGTACGACTTATGGGCTTACAGGGGTTGTAATGGGGTGCCCTTCAGTCTGACAGAGCCTGCAGAAGTCCACACGAACTTGGGTAAGGCTATAGACAGTGAATAGCCGGCAAAGTCGGGCTACAAGGAGGCTTCCACATGAATGATAGGGTTGCCTTGTGTGGGTGGAATTTAGTCTAAGAGGCAAGGCATTTGGTTGATGAAGGGTGTTTGTCGTCCCCCCTCTTCCGCACCAGCCTCCAGCAAAAAGTTCCAGGTTGAAATCGCTTGAACTCCGCAACCTCTCGCTCCCAACTCTGGACAAATGAAGTCGCTAAACCCTACGGACAGAGAAGCCAAATAAAGTACCTAAACCCTACGGACAGAGAAGCCAATGGGTGTGCGTCACCAGGGTTTCCGAGCACATCCCGCAAAAGATCCAACAAACACTAGGACATGTTGTTAGAAGATCCTTAAGGGGGGGGCGGTCGTTTGCCGGTTGTAATGAACCTTAGATAAGCAACAGTTGCATGCGAAGTACCCCAAGCGTGGTGGTGGATAGTAGGGAACGGCGGGATGCATATGTGGAATCGCTTATGGTAATCACCAGTTCGAGTTTAAGCCTTGAATCATATGCTGGTTGCCATTCCCCTTTCAACTCCTTCCTGGATCAAATGTAGAATATCACTATAGAAAGCCCTTAGTATAACCCCTATTATAAACTGTTATTGGGCAGGAGCTCTCCTAGCCACCCTTAACCCTAAAAGGAAGTGAGCCACACCAAGCCAGCCAGGCAACGTCTACTGCGACTTGGGAGACCACTTGATCTTCAACTACGTAGACTTCCTGAAGAGCGTCGCTTGGCTTTTTGCAACTTAAAAGCTGCTTCAGGGGGGCTGAGGGAGTGAATATAGGTATCTTTTTAGTATAGAGATTATCCTAGGGATCCACTCCCCAACTCTCCCTTAAACCAGTAAGAATAAGAACAGTATTATTCCTTCGCCTGGTGACTTGTGGATGCTGATGCTGCTTCTTCTATTGCCACCACCACGAGGACCAAAACGATACCGGTTGCGTAAGCCAAAGTTTCTCTGAAGGATTGTGCCTCGGATTGGGCATTATGCGGTGCCAACTAAATAATCATTATTAATGCAGAACAAGTTGGCGCTAGCAACCAAATCAAAAGAGTTTGTGAAAACAGCCCTGCATCATCGCTTCCTATCCCTTGGAATTCCAACCGGCAATCCTGTTTCGAGATGAGTGCCTCAACCACTCACCTAAATCCAAACCCTGTACCCAGAATCCATCCAAACCTCACATATAACCCCAATGTACCCACATATAACCCCAATAGAATCCCAACTTAACCTCCTTTCCAGGTGGACGTCCCTTCTGAAGATGTGGAGCTGGCGATTGCGCAGCTGCAGGCTCCCTACAAAGGCCCTTGGGTAGGAGAACCAAGGGTAAGAGGCAGGCAGGCTTCAGGGTTTTAAAGCAGCCTCGCCCTAAATGGTGGTTTATTATAGGGAATAGTACTCAAACGGCCTTAATGAATTCGGAATTAGCACTAATCTCAATTACCCGGAGGGTAAGAGGCAGCCAGGGCTTTAGGGTTTAGCTTGAGTTCTAAGGCGCCATTCCACGTAAGAATATATCGAGTTGGCTTAGAACAGACTTCGACAGATGCACTAATTACTGAGAAAAATGGAGATTAGGGTACCATATAGTGGCAATAAAATATAGGGATAATGAAGAACTGGAAGCTACTGTTGAGGGGTTAGGGTCCTGGCCCCACCCACTAACAGTCTATACTGCGGGTCATATATTAATGGCTATATATATAGACTTCTCATAAATATTATCTAACTGCTAATGACTCGGAACACTACCCTTTCTACACTACGCTCAAGGTTGAATTGGGGGATGAATCGGGGAATGATGCAGGGCCCTCCGTCTGGAAAGCGTGTGCAAATCTAAACGAGGCATCGCTCTCCTGGGTATAGTTTGTATATTCATACATCTATATATACATATATGTATATATGTATATGTATCTATCATACATGTACACATATATGTATCTATCTATCTATCTATCTATCTATCTGTATACCTTCTAGGCAGGTTCTGCAAAGTAAAGGAAAATTGGCCAAGCGCATTGCTGCTTGAAATTGCGAACCCGATTTTGCGCGTCACTCCGCAAAGGTCAGCTGCAATCTAGCGCTAGCTAGCTAAGTTCATGCACATGTGACTTTTTTCAATTGTTCTTTGGCCTGAGTAGGCCCCTTAAAGTCTGCGTTTACCTTACCACTTTTGCACAGCATCCCAATGTCTCCCAGCATCTGGCAAGAGAGCAGAGCCCAAAAGCCCACGAGCATTGGCTCAGGTTGCTCCGCACTATTTGGACTTCCGAAAACCCTTAGCCATAAAGCTGAAAGCCGCAAACCCTAACCCGCCCCCCCCGAAAGCCTTCAGCCCTAAAGTTAAAATCCTATTCAGGAAGCGCCTGGTGTAGTCTTTTCTGCTCTTCAACCCTTTTCATAAGGTCCTGAGGGCATTTGTAAAACTGAGCCCCGCTTTTTTGACCACTGCTTCATTTCTGCTCTCTTATCGGGACTTCCGACACCCCAACCCTAACTCATAGAACACCACCGGGCCTGACCAGGCGATGAGATCTCACATTATTTCGACTCCAGGGGCAAGGTGATCCCGGCCGACCAGGTCACTTACCTGTCCGCATTGTTTGGGAAGGTTTCGAATTACTTACTTAGAGATATAGTGGGATAATAAGGGAATACTGGGGCTTTATTACAATATAGTCGCATCCATTTTCTCTTCCATTATTCCCACATAATCCCTATAACGGAATGTTGGCGTTCTTACTTGTCCAGTTCTGGAGCAACACAAAACCCCCACACACCAAATCACTTACTGGGGGTTAGCACTGAATATGGGAATATACTATATCCGGATGATATAGGGAGCATACTCTCTCATTACCTACTAAGAGCCAGTAAGTTAAACTTTTAGCTTTGCAAAAGCACTCGATGCTGCGCACTTGATTGATTGTCAGATGTATGGGCGCTTTGGGGGGCTTCCCATTGTACTTATGATATGGCTCCTTACATCCCTAACCCCTAATCCCTATTTCGGGTACCTCAAAAGGGCTCAGAAGTTTGACGATCTTTGACCTGAGGCAATCATGGCATAGCCCGGTGCAGGCCCAAAAAAATAATTGACTCCGCGATGGTGCCTTGGCTGATTGCTGGTAATGTAGACCAATGATTATTAAACCCCCTCCTTTTTTAAGGGCCTCAATACTAGGATTCCTATCATAATCCCTATTAAGGGGATGGTGTTTATTAATCTGGGGTCTGGGTTATGGTTGTTGGGCTTTTTTTGTGGGCTGGTTGATTCTTTGTATTGTTTTATTGTTTTGCTTGCGGGTTCTAAGGTGGGATTGATTCTGCCCCACGCTAGACCCCACATTCGTGGTAAGGACTTCAGAAAGGGGCCCCCCATTTATTCGAAACCCCCATGTCTTTCTTCATAGTGGGTCTAGGGTTTAGGCTTTGTGCGAGCCCAGATGCAACAAAGTTTTAGGGTATTAGCCCATCAAGTCTGAAACATGCCCACTTTTTCTGAGGGATCACACAACATCTTAGGTCTCCTTGCCTTAGGCAGATTCCGTGGAAGCCATTGTGCTACTCAGAGTCAGCAGTCAGGCACTATAAGATATGAGGTAGTAGGGGCAGCCGAACCCCAATCGAAGTTTCACACGATTTGCATGCTCCGGTGACAGACATGTCACTTGCACTGTATACAGGCTGTCAGAATCCATAGCAGCCAGCTGACTGCCGTACAAATGCAGGCTCAGTCAGCTGGCGCCCTTTTGTCCCTAAGGACAGGAGCTCCGGCTGGAAAACCCAGTCATACAGACATTCCAGGAGTATAGCAGGATTGAGATTCTACGCAATTATGCAATATTACGCATGTGTATTGCTGGGGTAGTAGCCAGCGGACCTCCATGGCAGAGAGCACCGCTTGTCCTGCAAATGAAGGCAAGAACAGCTTGCGTTTCAGCCTAGCCGAATTTGAAGGGACATCTTTGGATCACTGCCTTCATCTCCCGCGTTCAAAAAAAGACATAAGATAGAATATGGAAGACTACAAGGGTTACATTGGGGTTGTATGGGAATAATGGAAAAGAAAATGGAAACTACTATAATGGGTTATATAGGGGATAGAATATAAGGGTTTTATAGGGGTTACATGTCAATGAAACTCCCAGCATTTGTGCTGAACAGCAGGAGCGTAGTTCCAAGGGTTTGTGGGAGGGTATAGTCCCCCTTAGGTAGTTTCAATCTGGGGTATACGGGGATCTTATTATAAGATACCCTAAGGCATATTCTATCTACTTGAGGGGGATGTTGCAGCAGAGGAGTATGCCTTTCCGGCTGCGTGTAGCGCAGGGCACACGGATCTTTGCATGGTGATGGCTCTCCCAAAATTAGGGTCCCATTTGGGTACACCTAAGTATTAGGTGCTGTAATAAAATATATATTACCAAAAGGAGTCCATGATTTTCAGAACAACCCACATGGTTCAAAAAGCAAGAAGCCACCAGCCCCCATCCTGTTAGCCCCTAAACCCTCCTAGTCAAAAACTTTAGGAGTGTAGTCCCCTTTAAAGTAGATAGAACAAGGCTCTGGGTATGATATAATAAGATCCCCATATACCCTATATTCTATCTACTTAAGGGGGGACTATGCCCTAAACCCTAAATAGTAAATAGTAGTTTCCAATTTCTTTTCCATTATCCCCATGTAACCCCTATAAAACCCTTATATTCTATCCCCTATATAACCCATTATAGTAGTTTCCATTTTCTTTTCCATTATTCCCATACAACCCCAATGTAACCCTTGTAGTCTTCCATGTTCTATCTACATAAGGGGGACGATGAGTTCCGGAGGCCCTGCATCGGCTGAGCCTGCGGCCGAGTCAAACCAGGATCCACGCTGCAAAAGTCATTTGAGCTATAGTCTAAACTCCTTAAAGGGGGGTTATATAGGGGATTTATAGGGCACTATTATGGACGTTATTAAGGGGGATACCAGGACTAGGAGTGTAGACAATGGCTCATTTCAGGTTCCAGAAGCTGGCCTTTGCTTAGGTAGACGCCTTAGGGTTTAGGGTTTAGTGTTTAGGGTGGTTATACAGGGTTATATAGGGATAACGGATAAGAAAATGGAAGCTACTATTTGGGGTTTAGGGTGACTTCGCACTTCGAAGGGTAGCAGCTTCTGGCCTTTGCTTAGTTGGGAATGAAGGAATGGAAAAGAAAATGGAAACTGCTATAATGGTGTTATATAGGGTTTAATAGGGTTATCTAGGGTTATCTGGAGTTTAGGGTTTAGGGTTTAGAAGGACTGGAAAAGAAATGGAAATTACTATAGTGGGTTGTATAGGGACTACTATGCTCCTTAACTTAGCTTGGACCTTAGATCCTTAACCCTTTGGGAGTCCCTTTTATTCCTGTTATAGGTACCTGAATGGTTAACCCTTAGCAGGAGTCCTAAGTGCCACGTAGTAGAAACATCCATTTCCTCATTCCTAGCTAAGCAAATGTAAGAGAAGGGTATCTTGACACATGTGGTGGTTTTAGTTTAGGGTTACAGGTTGCGCTGCTCAAAAAGCTTGCCTCACCTCTTGAAGTGCAGGACCTCTAAACTCAGGAACACCTTGGTGCACATGAATGCACCTAGCTTGATGACATAGTTCATGACGCACGAAGGGCAAAGTCATCATTGGGGCACTCTTGATCCCCACCCACTAAGTCTACGCAGAGCCCCATTTTAGGCATGGTTTGTTCGGAGAGTCCCTAAACTGGATCACTAGTTTGGGTTCCTTTGTACTTTTTGGGGGTATGGGATCCCTTATATTTACGTAAAATAGTACCTGTGGGCTATATAAGTAAACCCTAACCCCTAAACCACTCAACCCCTAAACCCCAAATTGTTCGACTCACTTACTTCGACAGACTGTCGAGCTTGTGGCAGGACATGCAGGAGGAAGAAGAGGAGAGATTCTACGAGGCCGGCAAGCCAAAGCTTCTGAAATGCAATTCAATGTGAGCCATGGTCTAAACTCCTTAAAGGGGGGTTGTAGGGTTTAGGATTTAGGGATTTAGGGTTTAGGGTCCAAACTCCTTCAAGGGGAGTTATATGGGGGATTCTATAGGGGTCTATTATGGTGGGATTATTACGGGGGACACTAGGAGTTTAAACGATAGCTCATATTATTAGGGTCGTTATTGGTATTGCGGTTTTTCTTAATGAGAGTATGATTGCTAGCATTACTACGGTTAGTATTACTATCACCAGCATTAGCATTATTACTTGTATTTCTATACCTACTGTATATGCACATGTGTATATATATATATGGATATTGATTGATTGTGATTTTACTGTTACTGTTTATACTATGTATATTTCCGTTCGCTACGCTTTCGGCTTCACTTTACTGCTAAAAGTACATGCTGCAACAGAAGTATTCCAGAACTGACCAAACATTGAACTCCATCAAGCGATTTGGGGGTTTACAGAACTGGGGGTTCCCTTTTTGGGAGTTCCTATGACAAAGATGAGACCATGTATTTCGAGGGATTATGACGGGGACGCGGAGCTCTAAACCCTCAATCCTAAAACCGGAGGCCCTAAACTCTAAGCCCTACGCCCTTACCCCTACACCCCAAACCCCTGAACCCTAAACCCTATAAGATTCCTATATGAACCCTAAACCCTAAACCACCCCCATTTAACCCTGTGAACCAAGAACCCCAACTCTGCCAAAAGTATTTGCCCCCAAAGCCCTAGACCCTAACCCCTGCACCCTAAACCCCGAACCCTAACCTTTAAACCCCACACCCTAAAACCTAAAACTCTAAAACCCTAAACCCTAAACCAAAGCATTTGCCCCCAAAGCAGGCAAATAGCGAGGAACTCCTGGAAGTGCTCCGTAGCGCTGGACCGGCCTGGGGCTCGGTTGGGGTTTAGGGTTTAGGGT